CTTTAGAAATGGTGCAGATTCGTCTCCTGGTGCGCCACACAGCAAGACCTTCTTGAATCGACCTCTCTGCCTGTTATCCTCTATTACTTGCTCCACCTGAAATATACAGGACTTTCATTGGCATCCCTCAGGGTTCATTTAGTGGCAATCTCAGTATTCAGACAACCAATGGAGGGTTGCCCACCCAACCACAGAAAGATTCCTTAAGGGCCTTGCAAATATAAGCCCTCCTCGCAAACCTGCTCCTCTGGCATGGAGTTTGGACATTGTCCTCGAAGCTCTAATGGCCCCGCCATTCGAACCACTCGTTACCATACCACTGCACTCATTAACCATGAAAGTGGTTTATCTTCTTGCCTTTACATCAGCACACAGAGTGGGTGAGTTATCAGCGATTATGGCAACACCCCCCTCCCATACCATATTTAATGACAGTGTAGTCCTGAGACTCCACCCAACCTTCATTCCGAAGATATCATCGAGTTTCCATATAATAAAACAATTGTTCTTCCAGCTTTTCACCCAAAACCTCACGCCTCCTCATGCGAAGTGGCTCTCCACGCACTCGACGCTCGCAGCGCCCTCGCCTTTTACATAGATCACACAAGATCTGTCAGAACAAACTATCAGCTAATTGTGTCTCTTACCAAGAGATCAGAGGGACACCCAATATCTTCCCAATGAATCTCTAAGCTCACAACCATCTGTATAACCGAGGCCTATGCTTCAAAAAGTATCCCGCTTCTGATACAACCTCGAGGTCATTCTACAAGAGCAATGTCAACGTCTACGTCCTTCCTTAAAGGTGTCCCCCCGAAGGACATATGCAGAGCAGCCACATGGTCCTCGCATGACACTTTCATAAAACATTATGCTATACACCAAAGGCATTCAGATACCGTGGTGGCATCAGCAGTGCTCTCTTCAGCAGACAAATAGGGTCTCTATATCCCACCTTCTTGCTTAGTGGAGTACTGCTGCTCCTACGATGGAGCACCCACGGGGACATCACTCGAAGAAGAAAGTGAAGTTACTCATCTTGGTGCAGTAACTGTCATTCTTCGAGATGTGTTTCCCCCCCCCCCCCGCCGGAGTCCATTTTTCCTTTGTATCTTTCAGATTCCAAGGCAGCCTCGAGGAACTGGCAGGGGCCAGACCGTGCACTCACTCAAAAGGGTGCGAAACTCTGTAAGGCGCTACGGCGCATTTGCAGCCCAACCGGGTATTGCTATCAGAAAAGTCTCTGTTCTGCGGTGTCAGGGCAAGCCCCGCACCTACAGTGGAGCACTCACGGGGAAACACATCTCGAAGAACGATAGTTACTGCACTGAGGTGAGTAACTTCGCTTTTTGGTTTGATACCTCAATTCTTGAGCTGAGGTTGAAATCCAGAGACTTAAAAACTGGCCCCTTTAAGTCCTAGGAGTAAAGTTTACATAACTGACTGCCTAGATGTAGATTGTTTCCTGTCCAAACTGCTGTAAGGGAGGTAATCTACAGGAAGCGCCAGAAGATGTGTGTGGGAGGGGATTGGAAAGCCCCATCTGAAAGGATCTGATATGGCCATGGTTACTTCTCAAAACAACTCAATAATATTGTGGTGGCTTTGCTAATTAATACTTTTAGTGTCTGGCTCTCTGAAAATGTAAATTTGTAATTCAATATTTTGGAAGTCCAGGTCAGTCACATGATCAGTCACATGTCCCTTTCAAAGCTTTCATGAAAACCTTCCTTGCAACCTTGGTTTGAGTGCAAGATGGTTTAAGTTTTCAGGCAACATTTAACAAGTAAGAATTGACATTTTTGGACTTGAATTTAAGAAGAAAGCCAACACTGTTATCACAGACTTTTGTGTAAAAGTGAAGTGCCACATGCTCCTGGCAGGGCAGGAGGAGACTTCGCATTCCCCCCAACCCCCAAGCCCTGATTGGCCTGGGGGCAGAAGGGGGAGCACGTGAAGACTCCTCCCACCGCCAGGGGCATGGGCACCTAGGGGGAACCTCTGGGAAGGGGCAAAGGTGCTCCCCCACCCCCAGACCAATCATGGTCTGCGGGTGGGGAAGCAGGGAAGTATCTTGGCCCCACCTCTTCTGGTGCAGCAGCAGGGAGGGGCAGGTTGGAGCGAGGGCCACTTCAGAAATTTTTGTGCATTTGGATCCTGTGAAGCCGCCTGCCCCACTCCTTTCATGCTGCTACCTCTGATAGAGGCAGCAGCATTGGGGGGTACATAAGAACGGCCATACGGGGTCAGACCAAAGGTCCATTAGCCCAGTATCCTGTCTGCCGACAGTGGCCAGCACCAGGTGCCCCAGAGAGGGTGGACCGAAGACAATGATCAAGTGATTTGTCTCCTGCCATCCCTCTCCAGCCTCTGACAAACAGAGGCCAAGGACACCATTTTATCCCCTGGCTAATAGCCTTTTATGGACCTAACCTCCATGAAATTATCTAGCTTCTCTTTACACTCTATTATAGTCCTAGCCTTCACAGCCTTCTCTGGCAAGGAGTTCCACAGGTTGACTACACATTGTGTGAAGAAGAACTTTCTTTTATTACAAAATACAGGACTATGTAGCACTTTAAAGACTAACAAGATGGTTTATTAGGTAATGAGCTTTCGTGGGCCAGACCCACTTCCTCAGATCAAATAGTGGAAGAAAATTGTCACAACCATATATACCAAAGGATACAATTACAAATTTCTTTTATTAGTTTTAAACCTGCTACCCATTAATTTCATTTGGTGTCCTCTAGTTCTTCTATTATGGGAACTAATAAATAACTTTTCTTTATCGGCCCTCTTCACACCACTCATGATTTTATGGACCTCTATCATATCCCCCCTTAGTCTCCTCTTTTCTAAACTGAAAAGCCCCAGTCGCTTTAACCTCTCCTCATATGGGACCTGTTCCAAACCCCTAATCATTTTAGTTGCCCTTTTCTGGACCCTTTCCAAGGCCAAAATATCTTAACAAGGATAAGGAGGCAAGCGGCTCCACAGGAGTTTGTACGCACAGGGAGCTGGTTGAAAGCCAGCTTCCTGCATGCATTGGCTCCCACCTATCCCCCTTATTCCGCAGCACTGTTTCTCCTCTATCAAAGGCAGCAGCGGGGTTGGGGGAGGAGGAGGCAGCTCCATGGGAGCTGGTGCTTGTGGGTAGCTGGCTTTTAAGCCGGCACCCCCAAGGACTGATTCCTGCCGGCCCCTTCCTGCTGCTGCTTCCGTGGGAGGCAGCAGAGGGAGGGCAGGAGGTTCCACGGGAGCTGGCATGCACAGGGAGCTGGCTTAAGGGCCGGCTCCCCAGGGGCTGTGGCTCCTGCCTCTCCTTCACCGCCCCATTGCTGCCCTCTGGTACAGAGACAACAAGGGGAGTTGCATGTAGTCATTAGGATTAACCAATAAGCCCAGGCTTATTGATTAATTCTGTAAACAACTACACGCTAACATCCCTATTCCAGAATCAGAGTATGTTGGAGTCCCTGGAGCCTGATGCTATCTCGCTGAACTATTTCTTCAGACTCTCATAAATAAATAAATAAATGGAGATCTACCATCTCACAGAATTCGAAGGGATCTTGAGAGGTCGAGTCCAGTCCCCTGCCCTCACAGCAGGACCAAGTACCATCCCTGACAGATTTGCCTTAGATCCCTAAATGGCCACCTCAAGGATTGAGCCCACAACCGTGGGTTTAGTTGGCCAATGCTCAAACCGCTGAGCTATCCCTCCCCACAAAGGCAGAGATTTGTCTGTAGACTACTGGGCATCTCATCAGTAATTTTCTCCAGAACTATAGAGACTAGAAACTAGGGATGTTAAATTTTGATTAATCAGCTAATCGAGTAGTCGATGAAATTTGCATCAACTACTCAATTAGTCAGTGAGGGGGGGCATTTGCTATCCCTGCTGCACCTCTGCCTTTTAAATGTAGTAAGAGTTGGCCGTGGCTTATCAGACAGTCAACTAATCACTTACCTCCTTACTAGAAACACAATTTTTAAAATGAAAACTGAGATTCTGGAGCATAGTTCTGCCATGGGATGAATGTATAGAATATGTCTTGCATTCTCTGTGTTCATTTTCCTCCCTTTTTATTGCTCTCTCTCTCTCTTTTTCCTTCCAATGGTGGCTTCTGCTCCAGAAGGCCATATGGTCTCTAGGATGGGGAGGAGGCTTCATGAGCCTGGGCCACATGTTATCTCATGGTTAAGCTGAGAGCCATGGGAACAGAGAAGAGAAGCGTGGTTAGTGGGCTTCTGGCAGAGCTTGCAGCATTGTGTATGTGAGCTGTTCCTGTGTCCAGGTAAAGTTGGGCACTCCAGAGGCAGCATCCTGTGGTTTTCAAGGAGCAACCTGCAGCTGGGGGAGAACATTTGCAGTGGTGTTGGGAATTATGCAGCTTACTGCAACCCCACTACTCTGCTGTGTCCAATATGCCTGTGGCAGTTCCCTTCCCCAGTCTGGATAACACTCTGATAAGACACATAGGGCATGTTTACTTTAGGAAATTATTTTGAAATAACTCCTGAAATAACTATTTCGAAATAGCTTATCCACACTACAGAGAAGCCTTAAAATTAGTGTGAGCCAGGCTCCTTTAATTTGGATGTGCTACCTCAACTTAGACCTCCAGGAAACACTGGGGAATAATTACTCTGAATGACTGGGGAGTAGTTATTTTGAAATAGCAGCAGTGGAGTGATCATACTACCACTATTTCAAAATAACCAGTCTGTTATTTCAAAATAACATGCTTGGTAGTGTGGACGCTCTACTTGTTACTTCGAAATAAGGGGAGTTATTTTGAAATAACTACTTATTTCGAAATAACTCTCTAGTGTAGACCAGGGCTTAGTGAAAGTAGAATTAAATTTTGTTTCAAAGCATCTTTATTTGACATAATAGTCCTTCCACACGCACGCATACACACACCTGCCGCCTTTGTGTGTGTGTGTGTGTGTTTATACAGTGGTATTGAAATGTGCTGCTCTTGTTGTCACAGAGCTGCCATGAAGGGGACTGCCCATTCATGCTGATTGAGTGCCCAGCATGTAAGGGAATGATCAAACTGAATGAAAAGGAGCGCCATTCGGAGAGGGAATGCCCCGAGAGAAGTCTCAACTGCAAATACTGCAAATCGATGTTCTACTTTCCTGATATTAAGGTACGAGAGTCAGCATAAGCACTCTTCAGATATCCTTACAGCTAGACCAACCTAGACAACCACACTGAGGCAAGTGAACAAGTGGGGGTACTCTCTTATTAGTGATAGATCATTGTATTAACTCTTGAGAGAAGCAAGATGTGACATTAAGGCCTTGTGTATACTATGGGTGCATCTACACAGCACCCTAAACTTGAAATAAGATACGGAATTTACACTATGCAAATTGCTTATCTTATTTTGAAACTATTTTGAAATAACTTATTTTGAAATTTGGTGCATCTACACGGTGCCAAATTTCAACATAATGTGCTATTTCAAGGAATCCCTTACCTCTCGTGCAGTGAGGTTTACCGGGATGGTGAAATAGCGCACCAGTTATTTCAAAAAATATTTTGAAATAACGGGCAGCTTGTGTAGACACAGGGTAGTTATTTCAGGATAGCTTGTCGCAATTTCAGTATGTACTGCACCGAGCCCCTTACCCTGGTCTCTTGGGCCTCCCAGCTCTCCTTGATTACGTCAAGGATTCCCCGGGGCTGCCGCCCGTACAATAATTCGAAAGGCGAGAACCTCGTAGAGGCTTGGGGTACCTCCCGTACTGCGAACAATAGCGCTGGCAAAAGGGCGTCCCAATCCCCGGGGTTTTGTTCTGTGAACCTCCATATCATGCCCTTAAGCGTCTGATTAAACCGTTCTACCAGCCTGTCGGTCTGTGGATGATATACTGAGGTCCGCAATCTTTTGATCTGTAGCAGGTGGCACAATTCCCCCATTAAACGTGATGTAAAGTTTGTACCTTGGTCGGTGAGTATGTATCTCCTTGGGCAACCCGACGTGGGCGAACATCTTCACGAGTTCCGTCGCTAGGGTGGAGGCGTTCGTATTTCAGAGGGGTACCGCCTCGCATAGTCCAATACAACCAAAATATATTGATACCCAGTTCTTGATTTTTTTTCTAGGGGCCCTATTATGTCCATTGCTATTCTTTCAAACGGCACTTCCATTATTGGGAGGGAGACGAGGGGGGCTTTGGGTATACCGCACAGCGCCGCCTTCTGACAGTCCGGACATGACCCACAAAAGTCTTGCACCTCCCGGTACACCCCTGGCCAATAAAAGCGTTGTAATAATCGCTTTACTGTTTTTTCATATCCCAAGTGACCTGACCAGGGGTTAGCATGGGCCACTTCCATAAGGCAGTGATGGTACCGCCGTGGTACGAGGAGTCTGCTCCTCCCTCCCCTCATCAACCCTATATAAACGGTCTGAGTGTACCTCAAAGTGAGGGCCTGCGGACCCTTCCACTGATGTCTCCTCCTCCACGACCCCCTCTCGAGCCGTGCTCCAGGCGTGCCGCAGTGTGGGGTCTTCCCGTTGTTCCTGGAGAAAGTCACCGTCCTCTAGTTTCAGGGGGAGACGTTCCCCCAAGCCCGGGTCTCCTGTTCGGAGGGTTGGTGTGGCTACACCCTTCGGAGGTTCTCCTAAAGCTCCTAACTGGTCCACCGTTACCCGGGTGGGACCCCTGGCTTGCCAATCGCCCACGGCCCTGCGGAATCCCGTTCAGTCGTGGCCCAGCAAGGCCGGATACGCTAGCTGGGGCGCTATAACCACATAGCACCAACTATTCAGGTCTCCATCCCTGATCTGGACCCAGGTGGTGGCATATTGGTGCAGATCTCCGTGGACACACTGCACCTGCACGGGGGCACCCCGCGGATCCCTCGGGGAGACCAAGTCCACCCGTACTATAGTCTGGCTACAGCCCGAGTCAAGGAGAGCTACCACCTGCTTGTCTCCGATCACCATAGGCCGCATTATCTTACCTTCCGCCTCCCCTGCTGGCGCCCCGTCCCCGGATAACGCCTGCGCGTAAGAACAATCCATGAAGGGGGCAGTCCTTAATGAGGTGTCCTTCTTGTCCACACCGAAAACAGGGCCCCCTGGGTGCCCCGGCCTTAAGAGGGTTGTGCCCGGCGTTGGGTAAGCAGCCAGCCGTGTCTTGCGGTGCCTCCTTAGACGGGAGGGACCAGGCAGGCGCCAACGGCCGACGTATCGCCCCTTTTCCGGCCCCCCATCTATCGCCCTTTTCTGGACTTCCCTTAGCACGGGGGCTTCTCCCCGATTCGCCCCTCCTGGGTGGGGGCGGTCTTCCAGTCCGGTTCATGCTCTCCAACCCCTCCACAGCTTCGTAATCGTTCATGAGTTCCACCGCCTCACTCAGCGTAGAGGGGTGATGCCGGCGTACCCAGCGCTGGCCGCTGCTGGGCAAGATGTTTATGAACTGTTCCAGCACCACTAACTCTGCCACCTGTGGCCTGGTACGTTGCTCGGGGTCTAACCACCTCCATGCAGCCTCCTTCAACTGCTGGGCTGTGACCCATGGTCGGGTACCTGAGCTATAATGCTCTCCTCTAAACTTCTGCCAGTATGTCTCAAGCGTAATGCCCATCTGGTCTGAGAGAGCCTCCTTCAGCTTGTAATAATGTAATGCGTCCCGGTCGCTCAGGCAGCGTACGCCAATTGCGCCGGTCCGGTTAGGTAGGGGGCCAGCATTGTGGCCCAATGGGCCTCCGGCCACCTGGCTGCGGTGGCGACCCGTTCATATGTCGTCAAATACGCCCCGGGATCATCAGTGGCTCCCATTTTAGTCAATCGGATGATCGGGCAGGACGCACCTGCACCATCCTCTTCTCCGTCCTCCCCTTGGGTTGTCGCTCCCGTCCCTAGCGATGCCGCCATCTGGACTTGCGCTTTAAATTGTTCGACCAAATCCTTTATCAGCTGCCGCTGCTGCTCTCGGTGCTGGGCGGATAGTTGTTGGATCAACAGGGTCTGTTGTTGCTGACTCTGTCTCTGAGATTCCTTTATCCACTTGAGGAACTGGGCTGGATCCATTTCTCTGCTCCTTTCTTGGAGATGCCGCTGCACCCGGCTCGCCTCCGCTTTCGTTTTCTGGCGGACAAGACAGATATACCTCACTCCCCTTGTGAATACTCCCCCTTTCCAACCAAAGGTAGGGACCCCTCTCAAGTACCCACATTCTCCACCATCTGTACCCGCCTCGTCTGACGGGTCCCTCTAATTCCCCCCTCCCTTTACTGATGGCCGCTCGGATGATCTTCCTGCCTCGGTGCAAGTTCTTGCTGTGGCACGGTAAAATGGACTCCTCCACCAAGGCGGCAGGGGTCCGGGCCCACCCTCACTCACGGGCCCCAGCCCAGGCCCTAAGGACAGGGTCTAGTAGCATCCCTGTCCGGCTGGTGGGGTTAATACCTGAAACTCACCAGCCCACCAGCAAGTCCTCAAATGCCCTGCCCCAGGCTGCTTCCTACCCCGCTAGCTGCAACGGCGTTCCCCTTCCCTTGTCCTCCTCCTCCTCCTCTCCAAACTCTTCTCTCGCTCCCCAGCCTCTCCAGGTTCTCCTCAGCGTGCCGGAATATCCGGTCTCTCACTGGCCTCCCTAGCTCCCAGCCATTCTCGGGGAACTTCTCCCCAGTGGCTTCTTTGAGCCTCCACCCTCCTACCCTCTCCTTTCTCCTCCAGTT